GCTACGTTGGGTTTTTCCACAGCTGAGTGGCACTAAGAGAAAACACTGAGGTAAAGGGAACAACCCTGACCCTTACAGCGCCAGGCTCCTCTCCTCGGGGACCCGAACCTGAAACGGTGCCTGAAGGCGCTGAGTCCGTTGCCCCCTGGCGGTGGGCACCGCGAGCGCCTGGGCCGCAGCTGTTTTGCCCACCTCCCAGCGGCCGCACCTCGCACAGCAGCCGTGGTGAACGAGGCCCAGCCTCCCGGGGGTCACTTGTGTCCCGGGATCTAGCAGACAGCCAGTGTGATGGGATGGCGCCCGGCACTGAGGACAGGCTTTGGAGAGGAGCCGGGTCCAGCCTGGGCACCCAGGGAGGCGCCCTAGGGCCGGTGCTGAGCTGAGCTGCAGAGAGCCTTGTGATTTAGGGGGAGACCGGTGAGTGCAGGGAGGCAGCAGAGCCTGGGCGCAAGTACAGCGGCTCCCTGATGTTAGGTGGCTGTGGCCCAGAGGGCAGAGAGGAGGCTGCCCGTGGTTGTGGCAGTGGGAGGCAGTCAAATCTGCACTCCGGGGCTGAGAGACCGTACACAGGAAGTGACCGAAAAGCCCAGGATGCCAGAAAGGCTTCTGGATTCCATGCTGTGAGGATGGCTGACCTGCCCACAGGGTGATGGGGACCACGGAGGAAGGAACGGATGTGAGGAAACAAGAGACTTCCGGGCAGAGAAAACAGCACGTGCAAAGGCCAGGAGCAGAAGCTGGAGTCACGTGACCGGGGACCGCTCTGTTTTCCATCTCAATCCCTCCAGTGGTGATCTCAGCCCTGGCACACAACAGACCACCCCGGGGACCTGTGTGCTCGCATTTTGCCAGGACAGCCCTACCTCGAGCCTCCCCTGCAGATTGCTGCCGCTTCCCACACCCCATAACTACATCGCTGGCCTCCAGGGGCGCCATGAACACGAAGGTCCATACAAACCACCCCAGTGGGCACCGCACCGCCTCCTGCGGCCGTCGCAGTCTGGCCAGCGTGCTGCTGGAGATCAGCAGATGAAAACAGGGTCTGCTGTGTGTGCCTCCATAGTTGTGTGCTACTCACAATCATCAGGGCGAGAAGAGTGGGAATCTGCGTCTGCAATTCTGGAAAGTGGTGAAAATAATAAGCTGGTACGTGGGTGCCAGATGACTCCAGGAGGTTTTGCTTATTTAACTTTGAAATCCGAGTATCTTCTGGTGAACATTTTCAGTTTTCCCAAAGCGCCACCATTCCCTAGGATTTCAGACACCTCAGTTTTACTAATATGGGTACCTGCTTAGCCCCTAAAAAAGAGGAGAATAAACTCAAAGCCACAAAGATCTGGGTTTGGATCCTGGCTCTGGAATCATTTTGCCTTGATGAACCTTCATTGCTTCATCTACGAGGAGAACGCCTTGCAGAGCTGGTCCCAGAGCTGAAGGGGAGCGCGCGCAGCTTACCGTTAAGGAGTAAAACCTTGCCACCTGGAAGGACAGAATTGAGATGAAATGTGGACGAACAGGTGCAAGTCCCAGGGAGGCAGATTTAGGTCCGTGTGAAGTACAAACTGACAGGCGTGGCACGGTTTGTGGTGGTTAACACACCGCAGGTGGAAGGATGGCTTTGGGAGTAGTGTGTCCTCCATCGCCAGAGGTACTCAACCAAAGAATGCTTCCGGGGACTCAGGCATCAGGGATCGGACAATAGCCCAAAGATTCTGTAACGCCGTACCATTTGGCTCTGTGTTCCTTTGTATCTGTTGCAGACAAGGCCAACCTTGCAAAGCATCCGCCTGTGGCTGTCCTGCCTCTCGGAACCGGAAATGACCTTGCCCGGTGTCTCCGCTGGGGTGGAGGTGAGTCAGCATGCGCGTAGTGCCGCCCTGGGGAAGAGTTGTGGGGTTTACAGGGGTGCTCTCGAGTTGGGTGGCACTGACCCTTTTCTGGATCACGTTCCGTGAGGTCGTAGTCAGTGACCCTTTTGCTGCCCTACGTTCCACGATGGGCCTGGCGTGAGAGCCTGTGCAAATGCAAAGCCATCCTCCACAGGTTACGAAGGGGGCAGCTTGACAAAAATCCTCAAGGACATTGAGCAGAGCCCCTTGGTGATGCTGGACCGCTGGTACCTGGAAGTCATCCCCAGAGAGGAGGTGGAGAATGGAGACCAAGTCCCATACAGCATCATGAACAACTACTTCTCCATCGGCGTGGTGAGTTGTCAGAGGCCACCTTTCCACATGACACAGAAGTACCCAAGCAGGGCTGCAGCCGTCTGTTGTCACTGCTGGGCCCCTACTCTCTGCCTGTCCTGACCGCGTCCAGCCCTGACTTGGGTGTAAGCATCCGTGATTCTGGCATGGGCGTGGACGCTGTGATTACACAGCACCTTCGCCGCTTGATTATGGAGGAACCTCTTTCCTCTGTAATTTTGACTAACACAAGAAAAGACTAGAAGCTTCTCAAAAGACTTCTTTATCTTCCGGGTAATTTTAGGCAGTTAAAGAAAGCCAAGAGACCAGGTCAGCAGGAAACGTTCAGATAAGCTTTGGGAATTGGGGATCCTGAGCCTTGGGGAGGATCACGTGGTGCCACCTGTACTGGCAACTTAGGGCTCAGGATTTCTTCCCCTCCTCAGCCCACGCACTCCTAGGGCTTCCTAAACCTCTGGGGTGCGCCTCCCCCTGGCTGCTCCTGTCTGTGCATGGTGCTCCCCTTGGTGCTCCTCCAGCCCTTTATCCTCAATGATCCATGCCCTCCAGGCATTCGATTAAAGGCTGGGTTTAATGGGCCTGATTCACGCCATTCCCACACACGAAAGTGCACACACACACACACACACACACACACACACACACACACCAGGGACAGAACTGCATTTCTCTTGCATCCACAGTCCCCAGAAGAGCTAGTATAGCTCAGTGGACTTTGTATCAATGAACTCAGCTTCTGGTTCAAAGAGAGCAGAGTGGACCCTGCTTCCCAAGCCGCCGGGGACAGGATGGGGAACAGGGGTGACAGGATCAATCCACAAGTAGATCCAAGTAGACATACATCCACAAGTAGATCTGGGGCTCGAGTCGGCAGCACAGCAAAGACACTCACCTCTGTTGGGCACTTCCTGTGAGATTTTCCACATTCCTGGCAGACACCGTGGTCTCCACCGACCCCACTTACAGAAGAGGCCTCAAGACTGGATAAGTAAGAGGCAGAATAGGGCCGCCGAGCCTTACCACACAGTCAGTCTCTTCCCACTCGGCCTCCTTGTTTCTGAAATTTCAGATCTCCTGGACCAATCCTCTGGCCCAAGACTGCCGGACACCCTCCTGCCTCAGGCATTCCCACCTGTGCCTTTTTCGAAAGTGTTGGGGTCAGAGGTGATAGCTCGAGGAGATAGCAGGCCTGAAGGAGGGGTTTTGTTTTTAATAAGAAAGCAAAAAGGAGAAGCATAGAAAAGACTAAAAATAATGCCTCATATTGACAGAAGGATTTAAAATTTTCCACATGTACATCTTTGTTGGTGGTGATGATGGTGGGGTGGTGATGGTGGCACTGGAGATTTAATCCAGGGAGCACTGAGCTACGTCCCAGACCTTTTCAAATTTTCTCTTGAGACAGGATCTCATTTAATTGCCCAGGCTGGCCTCACGCTTGTGATCGTCCTGCCTCAGCCTCCCAATTAGCTGAGGAATGCACCATTATCCCTAGCCTAATTGTTTTTATTCTTATGACCACACTGAAATAACATTTTTATCTCTATTTTATGAGTTAGGAAACACGGATTCCAATTTAGAGATATGCCCTGTTTCCTCGCTCCTCTCAGCCAGTGCTCTTTTCCTATGAGTAAAACAGAAAAGAGAGGCTCTGCCGGGCTGCAGTCAGGCTCTGGATGGAGAGCGGTGGTGAACTGGGAGCAAGTTTAAAGGCTGCTGCTCCCCAAACTGGTTCATGCCCCGTAGGCCTCAGCCTGGGTTGGGGGCCTCTCTCCCCACATGTCCTCCGGGTTGTGCTGCAGTGATCTGCACAGAGCTTTCCCTCCTCTCCCAGCTCTGAGACTCCTCCTTTTCAGACCACGGTCCAGACTGCTTTTCCCCAAACAGAAGCCCTGCCATCTGGTGTTCAGGGAGCTCCTAGAACGGGTGCTCCCCATCATCAGTACTGGCAAACCCCGTGCATTTCTCCTGTAGTAACCAGAGTGTAGTTTGCTAACGTTTACTGTGCACCTACAGCTTCCCCTGGTTGGATGTGGTTGTGCATCTGTGCTCCATCAGGAGTTGTGGCTTAGCGAGCTGCCGAATGCTCCGCCCTAATTAGCAGTAGGGCCTGGACTCCTCACTGTCACTGTCGAGCTCTTAGGCCAGCTGAGTCGTGGCTCTCTCTGCATGGCCCCTCTGTCTTCACGCTGCCAAAGGCAACAGGCTGCGGCGGAATTGCAACACTCAGTGTCCGGTGGTTCTGCGGTGCCCCGTATCAGAAATGCAAATTCCACCCCAGCACAGATTCCAGTGCAGCTTCTGGCTCAGCCAGTCCGGGAAAGGCCTGGGAGTTTGCATTTCTAACCAGCCCCTGGGATCGTCCCGATGCACGCGGTCCCGACCAAGGGCTCAGCGTAAAGACAACCCCTTAGAGTAGAGCAGAGTGGTTAAAGATAGTGGCTCTTCCCAGCGGAGAAACCAGAAGTGAAATAAACGGAGAGGAACGTTAGAAAGGCTGCAGTTCCAGTGGTAAACTTCAGTCATGGCTGCCTTCAGGAACTTCAGCTCCATATCTTCCCTTCTTAACACCTCAGCGCTGGCTGCCAAAGCATCGTGGTTCCCAGCACCTCCTTGGCTCTCTGCAGTGCCCTGTCCTGCTCAAGATGGTAGTCTCTCAGTATTTACTAACTACATGGATGTGCATGCCAGAAAAGAAATGGACGACCACCTCTCAACCGGATATCCAGACCCTAAACCCAAGAGCCATGGTGCGTGGGTCAGTAATCATGGTACTGATTTATTCCTGAAGATGGAAGGAAGGAAGGAAAGAATGGAGGGAGGGAGGGAGGGAAGTTTTCCCCAAGGAAACACATACAAACAGGACCTCCATCACCTTCAGTGGTCAAAATATTTATCCGCCCCGGGCTGACTTACAATATTCCAATCTTTCTATCTTTCAAATTATGAAGAACTTCACAATATCTTCCTCGTGCTCCTTTTCATGGACCTTTAGCATATGCATGTTTAATAATATCTTGCAAAGGAGTGAGGAACCAGGGCTGTGTTTTTATCTCATTGTACACCCTCAGCCTTCTCCCAATAAAATGTCTGCAGGGTTTTGTGTGTTCGCTCTTTAAAAGTTGGAAGGAGAAAAGCTTGATAAAACAAGTAACCAACACGCAACCCGACAGAGTCCAGGGCTGACATTTGCAGAAGGTCTTGTGCCATATTTGACTTCCCAAACTTTGTAAGAGAAGTAGGCATGTAAACCAACCCAGGTTCACTTCCTTTATTATGATTAAATAGAGTCAGAGTCCTCTGCAAAGAGATCCCTGCAAAGTCTTGGCCTCTTCTGAAGGTCTTATTGATAAAAATGGCTGCCTCTTTACATTTGTAAAGATGATGATACCAACCACTGTTAGGGAGTCCCTGGGTGCTATGGATGGAGATCTGCCCTGACCTGAGTCAGTCAGTCCTTCAGTGCCAGCACAGCCCACTTAATAGTTAGAGGGTTAAATACGACAGACTCTGCTGGCCTGGCAACCTCATTGCCATCACATCCCCACCGTATGCCAGTTTCCCAGCAGCGAAGACTGAAGCTAGTTGGCCAATACTCTGGTTTCTCTTCAGATTGTATAAATCTTTTGACTTTTAGGCTAGTTGGCCGTATCACTCCTTCTAACTGAGACTGTGCACTGGCAAAAGATGTTAAACAGAATCATGTCCAGGACATCACTTCCTCTGGCTTCTCTGGCTTCCTTCTCTCTACTGTCTATTTTTAAATTAGCCAGAAATGGCCAGGATGGCCAGGTATCAGTGACAGGAAGTTTGGGACTGTGGAATAATTCCTGGAGAATGTGGATCTCTGAACTTTCTCACAGGCTCTGCTTTCACCGAACTTTCGCAGGATGGGTGACCAGTTATCCCTGTGGTTCAGCGAAATCTGTTTCAGATGCTGGGGGGCCCTGTGGTGAGCAGAGGCCACAGTCATGGAACTGACCCATGTGCCATTTTCCTCCTTACTGACTGCTGTCAGAGTTCACCGACCGGGTTTTCCACAGTGACAAGCCTCCTGCCCATTAGGGAATTTGTCAACAAAATATCCTCTCCCTGCAAACTTCTGAATGCTGTCAGCATCAAGTTCTTATCTGTCATCTGTGAAAGCATTAGGACAATGGGATTCACTAAGGAGTGACTTGCACGAAGGGTCTACATTCTTTTCCATTCCCCAATGTGCAAGAAGTTTTTAGAACACTCCAGTTTACAAATAATCTGGCCCATTGTCTCCTGTGTTTTTATTCCATAAGTGGACAAAATGACCTCCCCTACGTTGGCGAATATGGTAGCCACAAACTACATGTGGCTATTGGGCCCTTGAAATGGGCTTACTGAAATTAAGATGTACTATAACTGTTGGGCCGGGGATTTGGCTCAGTGGTTCTGCCGCCTGCCTTGCAAGTACAAGGGCCGGAGTTTGATCTCCAGTACCACCAAAAAAAAAAAAAAAAAAAAAAAAAAAAAAAAAAAAAAAAAAAAAGTGAAGTGAAGAAAATATTTTAAAGTAGTCCTATAATTTTCATATTAACTTTGAAACGATAGTATTTGTAGCATGTCCTATTTGGGGGTTAGTTAAATTATATTATTAGAATTGATTTCATTTGTTTCTTTTTACTTTTTTATGTGGCTGTTAGAAAATTTTAAGTTACATATATGATATATCCCATATTTCTGTTAGGCAGCCCTGGCCTAGACATTCCAGTATCTCAGGGTCCAAAACACAGCTTGGAAAAGGCCCAAAATTCTTAGTCCAACTATTGCTTGGAGTTTGGGTTCAGGGAAGAACAGCTCTACCTCTTCTCATCTCCTCTTCAGTCCACACAGCCAAGAAAACGCTCCAGATAGTGAGGCCATCAGAAACGCCATCATCACTTCATGGGCATGCAATTAATTCCCTTCACACCCGCCCCTTCCGAACGGAAGTGTCATTTATCTGCAGTCATCACTGAGAAAGAATCTGCACCGCTGTAGCCCAGTTTCCCAAAATTCACATGAAATTACTACTGATTGTAAATATGCCAAGGTCCAGGCTGGACACAGAGATGCTCAAGAGAGTGAATCTTGACTCTTTTGGATCCCCAGGTGGATAAAAACAGCCAGAGTCTTTACCGTCATCATCTTCAGAATTTAAGAAAAGCTGCTTCTCTCTCTCTCTCTCTCTCCCTCTCTCTCTCCTTTGTGTGTTTACCCAAGGGATTACACTGTCAAAATAGGAACCACATGCTAAACTAATGATATTATAAAGGCTGGTCTTTGGGAAAAGAAGCCCTGCAAAACCAGTTATGGAAAAACCAAGGACAATTAGACCTGTACTGAGGGAGGGCCTGTGCCAATATCCCGCAGAATTAAAAACCCGGAGCCAGGCACAGCTGTACTGGGGGCAGGAGTAGTGAAGTACAAATTGTGCCAGGCTATATATGATTGCCTTCTTCTTTTTTCTTTTTTCCTGACAGAAGAAAATTAGTGCTTCCAAAGAACACAAGTAGATGGGGTGTTTTCTTGAATACCAGAGAAGCATCTGACAAATGTCACATGCACCGTACTGAGCATGTTCACTGAAACTTACCCAGAGCGAGGGAAGTAGGCACCATCCGGGGGTGTGAGGGGGCACACTGGGGTTTGCAGGCTTCCCACCAAGTGTCCCCAGAGGCACCTCGGCCACCCCTTCAGCTCTTGATGTGTTTTAAACTAAAAAATAAACCAGTAACTCAACTTTAATTGTTAAACCCCCAAGGCATCATTTCAGCCGGGAATGTTTGCCAACCACAAACCCAACCATAATCCCATCTTCCTGACTTGCCCTTCCTACTTTTCAAATGGTGGCTGCTGGCTGGGGTCATCCCTATCCCAGTGTAATTCATCAAGTGCACTTACGTTGTCAACAGTGTTTCTCCCCTAAACTATACCTCCTGATGTTAAAAACAAACCATAGAAAATAATCTGCATTCAGAAGTGTTCCTTTACAGTCTCTTTATCAAGAAATGGAATATGCACTAGCTGGAAATCTGCTACATGGGATTGCAGACATCTTTTAACCACATATTCCAGTAAAGCGGTTTTTGCATCTTTTTTGCTTCCGGACCAAATCTGAATGGGCTCTTTTGTTTCTGGACGGCCCACATCTCCAGCCCAATTCTCCTGTTTATTTCTGAAACCCAGCACCTGCACCCTGCGGTGCCAGCCTGAGGCCTGAGCCGGGAGGACCAGCACACGCTCTTTTGCTGGAAAACGAGACTGTGAACAAGGGTGGAGGGCCGAGTAGCGTCAGCATCTAGACGCCAGCGTGGCCTCAAGAGGTGGCCCACGTGGGCAGTGCGGCTGCGGAGAGGGCACAGGGCTAACGAGCCTGTACCACACCAGAGGGTGGAAAAGCCCGGAAGTATGGCACCGTGGGACCATCCTCATTGTGACTTCTGAGGGGCAGGTGGCCAAGAGTGCAGCCCAAGGACATAGAAATAGGAAGGCAACAAAGTGTCCATAGGCTGTGGTTCGAAGTTCTTCTTCTTGACCTTGGAGGATACGGGTGGAACGATCAGGAAGCAGAAACTAGCAGTTTGACATTTGCCATGTACTGGGCTGTTCTCTGATGCCACTCATGATCTCTACTAATATGGACGGTTAAGAATTAACGCACAGTAGCGTCCCCAATGTCAGCGTTCTGGTTTTGACGACATACTTGTAGTTATGTAAGGTGGTATCCTTGAGGGGATCGGGTGAAAGGGACCTAGGAACTCGGTACTATTTCCAAAGACATAGCCATCTCCACACTTGGCTTCTGCCCTCTGCCAGCCAGAAGACCCTCATTACCTAAAGGGGCAGCGGCTGTCCCTCTCTCTCACCCCTGAATTACCTGTCTGCTTCCTGGGCCCGGGCTGGAGTGACGAGGGCTCTGGGGACAAGCGGGTAGGCTCTAAGAGTGTGGCTGGCCCTCTTCCCCTTGGCGTCTCCTCTGGGAGCGGCCGTCTCGGGGCTGGGGACTCGGCCCCTGCCTTCCACCACGCATGGCCCCGGCCACTAACCAGACATCCTGCCTTCTCCTCTTCTGCTTCCAGGATGCTTCCATCGCACACAGATTCCACATGATGAGAGAGAAACACCCTGAAAAATTCAACAGCAGGTAAGAGGGCTGCACGCCCAGCTGCTCGGCGCCCCGCCCGCCCCGCGCAGCCAGCCAGACCCGGGCCTCCCACCTGCTCCCACGGAAATGTTCTTGGCCCGGCAGCCCTGGGACTTCGCTTTCCTGCCACGCCGCCGGAAGGACGGTTTCCATTTCCAAGTGGGGGGTGGGGAGGGGTGTCAGAAACCTGCGGCTGCCAGTGCCGGCCGAGCATCCGAGCAGAGGGAGGAGCCGGGGCCGGAGCGGGCGCCTGGCGCCGACCTTTGGGGGACGCGGGGTCCCGCTCCACGCGCACATTCCGTGGCCCTCGCCCCGCGTTTCTGCTGGGGAGGAGGAGGAAGGGTGCAGGAGGCCCGGTTTTTCTGGCCTCGGTTGGGGGGGTAAAGGTGGCGGCCCTGGGGCTGGGGCCGGGGACCCAAGGAGTCGCTCTGCCCTCCCAGACAGCAGGGGGCAGCAGCAGAGAGGCCCCGCGCGGGTCCTGGGTATCAGAAAGATAAAAGGTTAAGAAGTGACAGAGAAAGAGAGACGCAGGTCGTTTTCAAACCAGACCCTTCTTGAATGCAGAAAAGAATTTGCCAGAGCTGAGTTGGGACCAGACGGCTACCCCTAGATTATCAAATGCCCACCTTCCTCCCCTCTTTTCCTTCTCGTTGGCCCATTTCTAGCCTTTGTCTTTCCTCCTCCTTGTACTCTCTCATGGGGACCCCTGGAGCCCACCTCCGACCTCAGGCAGGTGGAGAGGAAGCTGGATAGTGACGGGGACTTCTCTTCCAGCCTAAATGGATTGATTGACTTTCAGTTGGCCCAAGGGGTTCTCTTTAAAAGCAGAAATGTAGAGTGTTAGCAAGGCGTTTCACTGAGAGCCCAGCGTGGCTTTCATGCTTACTCTTGGCCCTGCCCCACAGCCTGGGAAACTAGTGAAGCAGAAAATTTTAAGAATCAGAAACATAGGCTGGGTGTGGTGGCGCACGCCTGTAATCACAGCACTTGGGAGGCTGAGGCAGGAGGATCGCTGTGAGTTCAAGACCAGCCGGGGCTACATAGTGAGTTCCAGGTCAGTCTCAACTACATAGTGAGTCCCTGTCTCAAAAAAAAAAAAAAAAAGAATCAGAAACGTAACGAAGCTGTTTTAGCCTCTGGAAGACTTATCTGTGGGAGTCCATGACAGCTAAACTAACGTTATGAGAATTGCGTATATGGTCACGGCATATTTGTTCTTGCTTTCTCACACAAACACAGAACCTACACCCTCACTAAATACGCGAGCGTGTGTTCCACCATCCCACATCGCTATAATCACAAACTCGACAACACTATTGATTCTCCTATATGTGTACACAATCACTTTTCTTTAAAAATACCCCTCTTCCACCCATTCCACAGCGTTTTGAGGGCCTCTTCTCACACAAACGCCCCTATACAACTCATTCCCAAGGGCCTATGAAAATGCCATCTGCTTTTGAAATCCAGGGGCTCTATTCATTCATTCATTCATTGGTATTTTTTTGAAAACCTACTACATACCAGACACTGTTTGACAGGTGTTCAGGGCAGGCCTGTGAAGGACCCTGCTGGCCCCTGACGGAAGCAGGCTGAGAAGCAGACGTGTGTAACGTTCTGTGCTAAGTGATGTGAACAGAGGTGTCCTATGGGAGCACAGTAGCATGGAACTCAGCATAGAGGGTTTTCCACTGACAGGGATACTCTCAACCAAGATGCAGAAAAGAAAAATATATTTTCCGGGTTGGCAAAAACAGAAGGGCACCCCATGGAGAATAAACCAAATATTGTATATAAAAAGGCACAGTGGGCCTGGGATTTAGCTCAATGGCACCATGGCTACCTCAAAAGCACAAGGTCCTGAGTTCAATTCCCCGTACAGCAAAATAAATGAATAAAAATAAAAAGACACACAAAAGAGTGAGAGTACAGCACGTGGGGGAAAGTAAGCTGTCAGCTTGGTACACTGGCTGATCTCTTAGTGAGAAGTGAATCTCAGTAGTTTATAGAGAATAAAAAAGCAGAGAGGAAATTTCTTCATACTCCAAAATCAGTAGATAGGTCAATGCATGACACAAACAGAGCGCTCATCAATCATCCACCTGATTTAGCACAGTTAGATAAATCTGCCTGAAGAGACTGGTGTACATTTCGATACAAAGTACAAGCAAACTGAATGTGATCTGTGTAAATGCCTTCTTTCCTTTTTTCCAGATCCCATTATCAAAACTGCTTTTTCAGGCTAGATTTGTGTAGGTTTATGCCTCACTCTTTACCGGGTTAAGTTCAAGGTGGTTTGGCGGCCCAGGTGGCAAACGCATGGATTTACATTGAAATCTATGCGCTCACCTAAGAAATGAAGATTCCTAGAGGCAGCACCTGTTTCACAGGGTCACAAAATCCTTGCTAGTAAGAACTTTGGGGGCTGGGGATTTGGTTCAGTGGTTTTGCCACCTGCCTCACAAGCGCAAGGTCCCGAGTTCGATTCCTAGTACCACACCAAAAAAAAAAAAAAAGAAAAGAAAAAGAACTTTGGGTCTATGTGCTGCTATCCTGCCTGCTTGCATGTCTCTGAAACCCCTAGGAGTGCTCAGTTTGTCCACTGAGAGGCAGGCAAGGAGCCATTTTCTCTGGGCTTCCTTATTTAGCATTGGAGATGGTTTTAAATAGGCAGGTGGTTGTTGCCATGGTTACCCCATTACACCAGCAGCTAAACTTAGGAAGGGCCACAGGGATGGGAAGAAAGCCTGATACCCAGGGTTTGAAAATGTAAACGATGTTATCAAACAAGCTTTCATTTTACCCAGCTGAGCTTAGGTTCTCCAAAGAGTAGTCCCTGCCTGGCTGGAAGCCTTCTTCATCACTGCGTGCGACTCAGCCCACTGGGACAACCTGAGGTTAAATATAGACAGTTGTAATTGTTTTGTTTTGTTTTCAGTGGAAGTATGTGAGTAGTCAGGGCTGGAACTCTTCGGGAAACTTGACTCTTTCAAATTGCCAATTCAGTTTTCTGAGCTGTTCTAATAAGAATTCTTAAGTGAGGATCCAAGGTCTTCAGGGCGTCTGTACTTACAAGAATGTCCATGACGATCAGGAGCCCGCCCCCCATGGAAAAATGTCACGGTTCTGAGACCTCTTTGTATCCTGGGATGCCCCAAAGTATGACTCAAAGTTGGGGTTTCAAGATACTCTTTCCCCAGTGGCTTCTCTGTACTGATTGTTGCCATGGTAGAGATTTAGTTACACAAAGTAAGGTATTTTCCTGATGGAATAGCTTTATTTTTATTATAATTTATTAGTGCGTGTTACTATTACATGACTTTCGGGTTGATCTGGGGAAGTTGGTATGTGTATTTAACCTGTCGTGATCAATTTCAATCCCATTACCCCTGCTTTCTCTTTCCTCCTCACCCCCGCTGTCCCTTTCCCGGTCTCCAGTAGTCTACCTCCTGATTTTAAAATCAGTAGTGTCTCTCCTCTTTTAAAATTTTTATTTTCGGTTTCATTGTACAAGAGAAAATGTGATATTTAATTTTCTGAGCCTGACTAATTTCACTTAACTTGATGGTTTCTAGTTTTACCTATTTTCCTGCAAATGACATAATTTCTTATTCCTTATGGCTTAGGTAATATTCCACTGTGTATATTTAGCACATTTTTTTATCCATTTATCTGTTGAGAGGCATATAAAACTGTTTGCACAGCTTAGCTCTTGTGAATTACATTACTAAAAACATGGGCACGGGGCTGGGGATTTAGCTCAGTGGTTCTGCTGCCTGTCTCCTAAGTGCAAGAACTCGAGTTCAATCCCCTGTACCAAAAAAAAAAAAAGGTATGTATGTATCATTGTAGTATACAGTTCTTACTTCTTTTGAGAATATGCTCAGGAATGGAATAACCGGGTCAAATTATATTCCAGTGTTTAGTCTTTTGAGGATTTTCCATAATGATTTCCATACTGGTTACACTGGTTTACGTTCCTACCAACCACGTAGGAGGGTCAGCATTCATTGTTTTTCGTTCTTCATGGTACCTATTCTGATGGGGATGAGATGGATTCTCGATGTAGTTTTTGCTGTTGTTTTGTTGTTTGTTTGTTTTGATACCGACCATCAAACTCAGGACCTTGTACTTGTGAGGCAGGTGGCGGCACCACTGAGCTAAATCCCTAGCCCTTCAATGTAGTTTTAATGTGCATTTTTCTGATAGCTAGAGATGTTGGACATTTTTTTCATATTCTTTTTTGGCCATGGAAGAGTCCTCTTAATAGAGCAAGAACTGAAACCAAGAAGGTAGGAACCACATGTGATAGAGACTATTTTTGGACCCTTCAACTACCTAGTCATTGATAGGCTAATTATTAATCCCTAATTAAGGAATGTTGTGAAGATCGTCATCTCACAGTCGGCATAAAGGACACAAGACAGATTTAATTCAACTGAAATTCTACCACGTGTTACAAAGTATTCTAGGATAAAGAGTAAGAATGATCTCTGCCTTCAAAACATTCAGTCTAGCAAAAAAAACAAAAAACAAAAGAATTGAATCTTCATATGTTTTTTTCAAAATTGCTTCAACACATGAGAGTCACATTTAGTAAGCCATGAAGCCAGGAAAGTTGTAATAGTATATAAGAACATTCAAATATCATTCATAAGTGGATTGTTTTTTAGTGTAGAAGCAGTGATAAAAGGGAACCAAACTAAGAACTATTATCTGCGTGTTTTATCTCCTACTGGATGCCAGATGATGAAATGGAGTTCTAAAATATATTAAATTACTTAAATCCCAAAATAACTTTACAAAAGCAAGATTAGTATTCTCATATTGCAAGGAACCAAGTCTAGGCGAAAGTAAGTCACCTAGTTGGGGTCATAGGCTTTTTTAAAGCAGTACAACTGATTTGATTTCTGACCTTCTTACTGCAGAGCTCCAGCCCCAGAGTTTCTGCACTGGCTCTCTCTTCCAGATTTTATTTAGTAAATATCTAGTGTATACCA